TATATGTGTATGTATGTATATTCAAGCACTTATATATGCTGTATGTAGGTTATGTAAAAAAAAATCTGGTTTTTATTGCTGTATATGTGTATGCATGTTATATATGTTTATTTATATTTGTGTGCGACTGTTCGTGTATTTGAACATTAATATATGTATTATAAGAATGAACATCCAGTATATGTAACAATTTGTGCATCAAATTTACAAAGAAAACAAAGGTTTTTAATATACATAATGGTACAATAACCTGCCCCCTGTGGTGTGAAAAAGACCCTTTGTCATCTGTTCTTTTTAACACTATGAACACAGGATATGGCCGCAGTGCACAATAAACTAGCTACTGCCTGAGGCTAAATCCAATTCAATTCTCTCCTTCTCCTTCCCCCCACCCCCATGTCATAAATACCCTCCTCCCTCTTTCCCTCCATCATATCTACCCTCTTCTCTCCCTACCATCATACTTACTATCTTCCATCCTCCCCTCCCACCATAGCTGCCCTCCTCCTTCCCTACCACCCACCATAGCTGCCCCCCTCCCCTTCCATCATACCTACCTACATCCCTCCCTCCCACCAAACCCTACCCATCACGCCTCCTCCATCCTTCATCTTTCTTACCCTCTCACTCTCCCCATTCCCCCTCCCACTACACATAAACATCGTCCTTAATACCTCGTTCATGACCCCCCAAAACAGGGAATGTGTATCAGTGGTGTTTCTCGCGGCGTGTAGTCATCGAGGGGTTCATTAACGCGTGTTCTTGGGGGTGGTGGGTCTTGCCAGGGCTGAGAAGCATTACTCTAGGGGTTTCTGGAGGCCAAGAATTAACATGTTAATGCTAGCATAAACAGGGCCTCGTGGGGCTACACTCTGTCTGATGTACGAGTTGACTCAGTCGGGTCTTACAGTTACTCTCCGTCTTAATGAGCTCTCGACTGCCTTCTGGGTTAGCGATAAACTGTTCTCCAGGGATGAACTAGATTAACCCTCGATGCCCACGACTCAGATACTAACACGATGTTACACGAAGAACTTTTATTTATACCTTAACTGGGGTTGTAAAGTCACTTTCTAACAGCCTCATCCCTTAAGCTACCGTAGTTAAATGAGGCGTCCAAAATAATGACGAATTTGACTGAGGTTTATTCATGTGTGTATTTGTTATGGACAAAAAAAAAGACAGCGAATTATATTGATATGTTATCGTTGGTTTAATTTGTTGTTTTATCTGTAATTTCGGTTGTTTGGGAATTAAGAATTAGACGTAGTGGCGACCTTAAAACACATTTAAGTAACTTATTGAGACACACTTTATAATAAGTTGCGTCACTGTGACACAATTATGTAAATTATTCTGTTGAAATACTCAATTAAGTTTCTTCTTTATAACAAACTTAAGCATGTTGCTTCCCTGAGATACACTTAAGTAATTCGATATCTTAAGGTGTTTTATTTAGACTGCTGCACTGAAACAAATTTTAACTACATACATACATACATACAAATATTTAATCCCATAGTCGGAGGTCTGTTGATCTGTTAACTTGGAGAGTGTGTCTGCTGATAATTTTAGAAAAGTTACAGAAGGGCACGCGCTGTGGGTGTGTGTGTGTGTGTGTGTGTGTGTGTGTGTGTGTGTGTGTGTGTGTGTGTGTGTGTGTGTGTGTGTGTGTGTGTGTGTGTGTGTGTCCATAGCAGAGTACTGTAGTGCATAGCAGTGTATTATAATACACAGCAGCTTATTATAATGCCTAGCCGAGTATCACAGAGCACACCAGCGTATCGCAGCGTGTAAGAATGTGGTTCATCAGTTACTTAAATGCGTCTTCAGAAAGTAACTCCTACGTGAGGCCAAAGTTGGTTCCTCCCTCGAGTGCAGTTTATCGTTGAGGCAGAAGACACCTGAGAGTTCATCAGGAGGGCGAGAGTAAACATAATATTAACAGAGGTATTCCTTAGCCACCTGTGTCAACAACGTAACATCCGGCGGGAAATGTGGGAACTCTGCCATTAATGGGGAGCGTAATGTGAGCGTGTGACGGTCATGGCACCTCCTGACAGACACACACACACACACACACACTGTACCTATCCCTCATCATAACTCCATTGCAGACTATATATGTTTTGGGGTCGTTATGGTCGTGTATCTGATGGTAATTTAAGTCTTTGTGAGATTGAGTCTTTGTCCTTCCAACAGCCATCATGAAAAGATAAAAAAAAATAGTTGTCATTACAAAATCGATTGTTATATGTTGAGTTACGGAATTCACAAAAACAAACACGCACACACACGAGACACGCACACAAACCAAACACGCACACACTTGTCACGCAGACACGACACACACACACACACACACACACACACACACACACACACACACACACACACACACACACACACACACACACACACACAGGGACGTCAACTATTTCTATATCCCCGTCGCAAGAACATCAAATCTTATTAAATATATTTTCCATGATCTTTACAACTTTTCGTATCTGTATTGAGGTTTGCAATACAATGCACGATACTTGAGTGCAAATTGCACCGCAGAGCCAAAGGCCTTGTTTGCTTTGATGAAGAGTTATGAGAGAGAGAGAGAGAGAGAGAGAGAGAGAGAGAGAGAGAGGTCAAGCCTCAGTGTACAGGTCTCAGGAATATTACTGTGGCGATGTTACTCCAACCAGCCATGAGTGTCAGGATATTGTCTGAGTGTAAATTTGTCTTCTGTTCCGGGAAAGAGGAAGTCATGCACTGATACATGTGGCTGGTCAGGCGAACTTCTCTCATACAAATCCCCAAATCTAATTTAACCTAACTTTACCAAACTTAAATTATCATAACTAGATAGATAGATAGATAGATAGATGGATAGATAGATAGATAGATAGCTAAATAGATAGATATTCATTCAATAACATTAAATCAGAGCCAACGTAAACAATGCAGCGATATAATGTATCTAGACAGTACAGGTATACAAACAATTTACATATACTCGGGTGTCATTGTCCCTAAATAATACGTTTTATATATGTAAACTAAACTGAAGTGAGGAGGAGGGTGAGGAGGGTGAGTGAGGAGGAGGGTGAGTGAGGAGGAGGGTGAGTGAGGATGGAGGGAGGGAGGGGAGGGAGGGGTGAGGGAGGGGAGGGGGAGGGGGAGGGAGGAGGAGGGTGGGTGAGGGGAGGAGGGGTGGGAGGGAGGGGAGGAAGGTAGGGAGGAGGTAGGGAGGAGGGTGAGGGAGGAGGGGGAGGAGGAGGAGGGGTGAGG